ACAACTCCCATGATCCTTAGCTAACAGGACCAGTGGTCAGGGATGATGGGAACTGTTGTGTATTGAGTCAAAGGATTTTATATCTGTATTATTATTGTCTGTATTTGCATTAGGGTAAAGTAACTGCCTTTTGGTTCTAGAGGGTACAGCTACTATTGGTTCATTTAAGCTGCTGTATTTGGATCCTCTGTCTTATTGGTCCCTCCAAAAGGCAGGACTGTGATTGCCTGATATTGTTCCCTCCAAAATGTATCCTTTCTTGCTAGTTCCCTGTCCCTATAAATGTAGCTTTCCTCTCCCCAGTCTTTAGTCTTGTTGCTTTAATAAAGAAGTGTTACTAGAGAACTGTCTCCAGCATGTTATATCAGGAGAGCTGAAATCACAAACCCCACGTCACAACAACTGGCGACGAGGATGGGATCCGGAATGCTGAGGAGCGGTTAAACGCAGCCCTGCCTCAGAGTCCGGATTGCAGCTAAGAACAAGACTCACTGACCAGCTGAGAAGACGACCCTGCCACAGGACAATGGAGAGTCCAAGGGTATTGGAGCCCTTCCAGCCATCAGAGCCCGACACGTGGGAAGACTACGTCGAACGCTTCGAGTTCTTCGCAGAGGCTCAAGGGATCACCGATGCCAGCAAAGAAGGGCCACATTCCTGAGCTACTGTGGGCCTGAGACCTTCAAGCTGGCCAAGGCATTGCTTGCTCCAGCGAAGCTAAGTGAGACATCTCTCAAAGATATTCTTGCCTGCCTAACAAGCCACTTGGCGCCTACTGAGACCAAGATGGCTCGGCGGATGGAGTTTCATAAGAGGCAGCAGCATGCTGGGGAGTCTGTATCTGCATTTCTGGCTGAACTGCGGAAGCTCGCTCAGCACTGCGACTTCCAAAATCTGGAAGAGACTCTCCTGGATCGGTTTATCGGTGGTCTGAGCAGCAAGAAGGCCAGAAGACGCATCGTGGCTAAAGAAGAGGTTACCCTTGCTTCAGCCTTGAAGGAGGCCACCGCCACGGAGAATTATGAAAGAGAGGAGCTTGATGCCAGTCGCAAGGCCCCTAAGCCACAGATAGAAGTTGCGCATGCCATGGACGAGCTAGAGGCTACTCCGAGCCAGAGCCCAGTCCGTGGGGTCGAGTCAGTGAGTCAGGCCTGCACAGTGCACAAAGATCACCGAGGCAGGTGCCCAGGTTGTGGCGGAAACCATGAGCGGAAGAGTTGTCGTTTCCGGGATGCTATGTGCCGGACGTGCGGGAAGACAGGTCACATCGCCAGAGTCTGTAGATCGGCGGCGTTGGGAGCGACAGGAGCACCTAGACCGGAGCATCGCAGACCGCCCGCAGCAACCCATTTTCTAAAGGACTGCCACTACGTTACGGAGCTCAACGGGAGGGTCGTGCAGTTCCCAGCACAAGGCAAGGCACACGTCAAGGTGAAGATTGAGGGTCAGCAGTGCGACATGGAGGTGGACTCTGGATCTGGATTCACTATCGTGTCGGACCAGACCGCGAGGACATTCTTCCCCAGGGGTAAGTTGCCCCCTCTGGAACCCTTCCCGGCAACCTTGCAGTCATACTCAGCGGGCCGCATCCATGTTATGGGAATGTGTGCCGTGAGAGTACAGTTCCGGGACAAACAGGCTGTACTCAAACTGGTGATTGCGAAGGGCAGTCGCCCCAGTCTCCTGGGCACTGACTGGTTCCCCGCCCTGGGACTGAGTATATCAGGGCTTAATTCAATCCAAACCTGCCCTGAGATGAGCGAGGCATTATGCAAAGAATTTGCTGGTCTCTTTAATGGAAAACTGGGTTGTTATAAAGGGCCCCCAGTTGACTTTGAGTTGGACCCTGGGGTGGCCCCAATCCGACTCAAACCAAGGCGAGTGCCATTTGCACTGCAACCCAAGATCGAAGCAGAGCTGGATAAATTGGTCAAGCAGGGAGTTCTCTCACCCGTGGACTCTGCTAAGTGGGAGACTCCAATCGTCACGCCCCTTAAAGCAAATGGGGAAGTCAGGATCTGTGCAGATTACAAATGTACTATCAATAAGGCACTCGGGAAACTCATACCCCATTCCAGTCGTATCACATCTGTTGGCTAAACTGGCTGGGGGCAAGGTGTTCGCCAAAATTGACCTGGCACAAGCTTACCAACAGCTGCCAGTAACCCCACAATCAGCGGAAGCACAGACTATTGTCACACATAAAGGGGCGTTCAGAGTTAACAGATTACAATTTGGAGTTTGTGTGGCCCCAGGGATTTTTCAAGGGCTCATGGACCACCTGTTAAGAGGTCTGCCGGGGTCTTGCCATTTTTGATGACGTTTTGATTGCTGGAAAAGACCCACAGGAACTGGTTGCGCGTGTTCGTGCAGTGTTGCTCAAGTTCAAGGAGGTGGGATTGCAACTGAAAAAGGAAAAATGCAGTTTGGATTTCTTGGGGTTTAAAATTGATGCATCAGGCATCCACCCCACAGATGCTAAGATTAAGGCCATCATCGAGGCGCCACGACCACAGAACAAGACGGAGTTGCAGTCATTCCTGGGACTTATTAACTTTTATCATTCGTTCTTACCCCAGAAAGCTTCGGTAGCTGAACCATTACATAGACTGTTGCAGAAAAAGACTGTGTGGCGATGGGGGCAGGGGCAGCAGAAGGCTTTTGACTCCTTGCGAGGAATGCTGAGTAGCAGGAGTGTCCTTGCTCATTATGACGAGTCAAAGCCTCTGGTCCTGGCATGTGATGCCTCTCAATACGGCCTGGGGGCGGTGCTAAGTCATAGGGAACCGGATGGGTCGGAAAAGCCCATCTCTTTCTATTCCCGTACGTTGTCGCCCACGGAGCGCAACTATGCTCAAATTGACAAAGAGGCGCTTGCAATTGTGGCAGGAATCAAAAAGTTCCATGATTATGTGTACGGTCGCCATTTCTACATTGAAACGGACCACAAGCCACGGTTAGGGTTGTTCAACCCGAACAAACAAACGCCACAAATTCTCTCCCCCAGAATGTTACGTTGGTCTATATTCCTGAACGGGTTCCAGTACACCTTGACCCATGTGCCGGGAAACGGTTGTGCCACGCGGATGCGCTGAGTCGATTGCCCTTCCTGGCGGGAGCACTGAGGATCCTGCTCCAGCGGAGCACATAATGATGCTGGAAACACTTCCGGGGCTCCTGTAACGGCTACTGATATAGCTGAGAAAACGAGGAAAGATGCTGTTCTCTCCCGTGTGCTCACTTGGGTGGGGAGGGGTGGCCAGGTGGTCCGCATGAAGACAAATTCAGGCCTTATGCGACTAGGCAGCACGAGTTGTCCATGCATAAGGGTTGTCTCCTGTGGGGAGATAGGGTCATCATTCCAGCACCACTGAGAAACAGGGTTCTTGAGACGCTTCACATGGGACACCCGGGAATGGTCAGGTTGAAGTCGCTAGCCCAATGTTATGTGTGGTGGCCTGGAATGGACCAGAACATAGAACAATGGGTACGAACATGCAAGGCATGCCAAGAGGTGCGGCCAGAAGTGGCCAGAGCACCAGTCCACTGGTGGGAGCAGTCCAGATCTCCCTGGAGCCGGCTGCACTTAGATTTTGCTGGGCCATTCCAAGGAAAGGTCTTTTTGGTTATCGTTGATGCATATTCCAAATGGTTAGAAGTGGCGATGGTCCCTAGCATGGCATCAGCTGCCGTCATCAAGGTGTTGAGGCAGCTGTTTGCAACCCACGGGTTACCTGAGACCATTGTATCAGATAATGGGGCAGCTTTTGTATCCCAAGAATTCAGGGCATTCTTGGCTGATAACTTCATAAGAGGGGTAACATCCGCGCCCTTTCACCCATCCTCCAATGGGCAGGCTGAGCGCATGGTAAGAACAGCCAAAGAATCCATTGCGCGCTTAATGGAGGGTAACTGGTCAGCTCGCATCGCGCGAATGTTATTTTTGCAGCATGCGACGCCCTGTACCGCAACGGGCAAGTCGCCAGCTGAGCTGCTCTTGGGTAGGAGACTGGTAACGGTGCTGGATTATGTCCACCCGGATAAAATGCCAAACCATAATTCAAGAGCAACCCCCCAGGCTGAGACTGACACAACAAGGTATCTCGCCCTGAAGATCTGGTCTGGGTGAGGAACTATTCACGAGGTTCGCGGTGGGTGGCTGGTGTGGTCACCCGGGCTAGTGGACCTGTGTCCTATTATGTGACCTTGGAAAATGGGCAAGTGTGGAAGAGACATATAGATCAGCTGAGGCGCCGGGCGCTCAGCAGGGAGGAGCCAGATAATTCATCCCAGGCTAACGACGCAGAGCCGCAAGACCAGAGTGAAAATGGCCCAAAGGTGCAATCACCAGGGGCTTTAACAAATGAACCAGGGTCTGCTAGTCCTCACGATGACGAGGTACAGATAGGGGACCCTGAGATGTCGGGGACTGCATCTGTTCCTGACGAAACCCCTAGAGCAGCCCCTCTACCACAGGTAACACCCAATCCAGAACCTGCAACACCTGTTGTCAGGAGATCAAGTAGAAGTTGTAGGCCCCCACAGTACCTGAGAGATTACGTCTGCTGTGCTCACTAGGGGGGAAGGGGTGTTGTGTATTGAGTCAAAGGATTTTATATCTGTATTATTATTGTCTGTATTTGCATTAGGGTAAAGTAACTGCCTTTTGGTTCTAGAGGGTACAGCTACTATTGGTTCATTTAAGCTGCTGTATTTGGATCCTCTGTCTTATTGGCTCCCTCCAAAAGGCAGGACTGTGATTGCCTGATATTGTTCCCTCCAAAATGTATCCTTTCTTGCTAGTTCCCTGTCCCTATAAATGTAGCTTTCCTCTCCCCAGTCTTTAGTCTTGTGCTTTAATAAAGAAGTGTTACTAGAGAACTGTCTCCAGCATGTTATATCAGGAGAGCTGAAATCACAAACCCCACGTCACAACAGGAACTGTAGTCCAAAACCTCTGGAGGGCCGAAGGTTGAGGATGCCTGCTGTGGTCCATCAATAGCTTGTGGAGGATAGGGAAAGGTAAATTTTTACCTGGCACAAAAAAGCTGCTAGTGATAGTGCCAGGTAGACCTCACTGGGGAAAGAATTTGACAAACAGGGAGCCACAACTAAAAAGGCCCAGTTGGTTAATTTTTGGAAGCTGCTTCTGATGTGTTCAGGGGTGTCTTGGGGTGGGAAAGGTCAAGCCCTGGGTCTTTTGCACTGGATCCCCTGCCTGTTACCCAATTATTTTTTTAAAAAAAAATTAATGCTTTTGTTATAATTTGCCCACTCCTACATCTTTGGAAACTTCTTGCCTGTCTTGCTTTTCTCTCACATCAGAGCAGTCCAGCCAATGGCAGCCAGAAGCTCAGAAGCCCCACCTCCTCTGTTTCATTGGTCTGGTAGAAGGAACTACTAGGCATGACCATGGATGCAGAATTGCTCCAATCGTGTGGAAATGGGAGGTTCAGTCTTAAGAGCAACATAGCACATTCAGGTCGATGAATCAATCAACAATTACTAAATCGGAGTCTATCAGATGATTTAATCAAATAATAAAAAAGCATAACACATTCCAACTCGGGTCGATAAATCTTTTTTTTTTTTTTTTTTTTTATAATATTTTTTATTGCATTTTTCCAGATAGAAATACAAGGTCAGATATACAAAGAAATAACAGAAAAAAGAAAGAAAAAGAAGAAAATCATCTTTTCAAAGCATTTTTCCATAACCAACCGGACTTCCCCCCGTCCCCCTCACCTTGCGTTCTTTACAATAAAATTTTTCAGCAAATTATAACCTTATTTCGTGCATTCTTTTGTTCTTTCAAATACTTGTGATTTACGTTTAAAATGCTTATTGTCAATTTGCACCTAATAATATATATAATGTTCTTTTAAACGTTAGTCCTTTCATTAAAATAGCTTAGTTTCCCATACCTTAATCTTATTGCTGGAGCTGAATTTCCCTAATCATGCGAATTCTTAACATTCATATAACT